CCCGCCCTTCGGACTTCTGGAAGGGCTTTGCACAGCCCCCTTTCCATCCGAGCGTGGCTCAGCTCTCGGCTCCTCCCTTCCACTGTGTGATGACGCTGGCCCGATGTCCCACCCCTTTCCAGCTCACACACCTGCAGGACTCAGAACTGCCTCAATACCTGGCAGCGGGCATTCAAGGCCACCCAGAGCCCACATCCACTCACTCCTCTTCCCCTATGCCCAGTCCTCTGTAACTGAGCAGTTCCTCCCCCTCCTCCCCCCCCCCCCCCCCGCGCGGCCGTTCCCTCATACGCCCGTTCCCCCATCGCTTCACGGCTGGGCTCATCTACCACTGGGATACCTCAATCTACTCTCTTGATTCCACCTTTTTCTAGTCTTCCCACACCTCAAGTAAGCCGCCTCGTCCTTCTCCAGGCCCAATCAGGCGAGAAAACAGCAGCCAGTAAACCTACTCTCCCCACCTCGGAGATATTTACGCCTACCGGGCCCCCACGCCCATAACCGAACAAGACGATAAGGCGGGGCCTGGCATTGTCACGTGACTCTCCCCGGGCGAGAGGACCGCACTATTTCCTCATTTGGTGTCGGCGGAGGAATACACAACTACACAGTTCACCGGAAGTGGCAGTTTAATGCCCCGGGGAGACCGTCAGGGGTGTGGGGTTACCCGGACTGCCCAACCCGTCGACCCAAGAAACCTCTAGCTAGATCTTGCCCTCGAGGAACGGTGTCTGGAATCCACAAACTGCCACCGAGGCGCGTGCTGCGAAAGGAAGTGCTTCTCTGATCACCAATCAGCGGCGAGGAGCCGTTTTAACGTCCTTCCCCCTTTTACTCCTTCCCTTTCTAGTTTGTGCCCTCTCCCGCCTGCGCAGGGTTTGAGCGGTACGGCCCTTCCGGGGCACCGTCGCGCGCGCGCCGGCTGCGGACTCCGGCGGCAGCTTGTCTCTGCGACATGGCCGGCTCGGAGGCTGGTGAGTCTCGGCTCGGAATCCTGGTGTGTGTGGACTGCTACACTCCAACCTTCCGAAGGCCTCTGGCCCACTTTATTTGGGTCTGGGCTGCCGCCGAGGCTCACGACTGTCAGACACGCTGTCGCAGCCGCTATCGCAGGTTCTGTGTAGAGGATGTCAGCCTCGCTGCCTTTTCTCTTTGAGGTCGTGGAATAGTGACAGGGTGTGAGGGGCCCTACTGGCGAAACTGGCAGGGTACCCGCACCTTGGCTGCTGAAGAGTAGTCAGAAGGCTCTTCCTCGGACCTGGATTTCTCTGGGATGTTTAGCCACCATTAATCAGTGTACTCTGCTTTTGCTTTGTGGTGACTGAGACCGAACCTATATTTGTATTGGTCTTTTGAGACCGTGTTTTTAAGATAACGTTGATGCTCCTGTGGAAGTAGAATAGTGGTACTTTTCTTCGTTGCCCACTGGCTTTGTTTGACACCGATTTTGAAAAGCAACTTGATTTTGGTTGCCTAGGACGCTTTCATCCCCCCCCCCCCCCGACAGCATACAAAACGGTTGTCTTGGCTGGGTCGGCTGTGAGCAATGGGCATGACGCGCAGGGATAATGTGCATGCAAGAAACAGACTCGTTTGTTTCCAGGACAGGTCCATAGCATAGTCTAGATATTAAAGTGCTTTCCCTTTTATCGCCAGTCATTTCATGAAATAAATGTTGCAAACTTTCTACCATCTTTGTCAAGAAACTAGTAACCGTGATAATTCTATCACTACATGGGGAAGGGCAGGATGTGATGCATTACACAGGGAATTTGAGCAGTGTTGGTAATGTGCAGTTCTGAACTAAGGGTTATTTTTATAATTTTTTCTTAATTTCATATACATCAAATATAATTTTTAAAAAACAAAAGCATTAGTACTAGTATTATTCCAAATTAATCACCTCTTTGGTCGCTGGAGAGATCCTGACGTGCACAAAATAATTGGGTGAAAACATGACTACTGGGAATTTGAAGCCACCTCTGTTCATTTCTAGTAACCTAAAATTATTTACAAACTGTCTAGTTTATGATATGATATTCCTGTTTACTTTCAAATATGTTTTAACAAAATATTTAAGGCTTATAAAAAAACTACTGGTAATAAGATTTTAGGTTGTAACAGTATAATTGGGTTTATATAATAGTTTTTATTACTTTGAAATTACAGCACTTTGAAAAATCATCCTAAGGAATTAAATCTTTTCAAAATCTTGCCTAGGAGGGTCTTTGAAATGCTGTAACAAATTCCTTATCTTATATCAAGTTCATTGTCTATTTTTGTAGGAGGTTGTTGGTTTTTAAAATATGTGCATGACTTTTTCTAGTGGTTCTAAAGCCTGATTGTTTTTCCCCAACAGAGTGGGTAACCTTAGCCAATAACCTTCTTTTTAAATGTCACATACACCTGAGGATACATGGACTTGAAGACTGTGATGCTAATGTTTTTATTGCTCTTTATCAGTCCATTTTGGGAGAAAAGGTTCCAGGTAAGGATACCGAAAAGCGAAAGTAATTGTCCATATTCTAGGCCAGTTAGTTAGATCCTTTGGTATTTATAACATTTTGTTTTCTCTGTCTTATTTTTGTCCAAATATGGCTTTCATTTCTTTATGAATACTTCATGGGACCCATACATAATACTAATCTTGATCAAATCAGTTTAATCATTTAATCATGCCCAGGGCTGAGGATTTAGCTCAGTGGTTCTGCCGCCTGCCTCACAGGCACAAGGTTCCAAGATGGATCCCTGGTACCAAAAAAAAAAAAAAAAAAAAAAAAAAAAAAAAAAAACACAAAAGATAATTTAATCATGCTCTATGTCTGGTGAAAGGCACATCATTCCTGTAAATATATATCTTTAAAGGTTCTACAGTTGAGTGGAACTTGGAATTTGTTGAGTCTTATTACTATTACAGATAAGAATTGATGTTTCAACTCTGTAACCCTAATTATTAAGGAAACAGTTAACAAATTTGTCTTATCTTTTTTTGCTGGGGGTGAGACAGATGTCTCACTATGTATTCTAGGCTGGTGTTGAACTCTCTATGTAGCCTAAATTGGCTTGGATTTTGAAGCAATCTTCTTGCCTCACCCTCCAAGTACTGGGATAACAGCAGTGCAGTACCAGGTCCACGGTCTTATCTTGTAAATTTGTGATTTGCGTATTTCTTTCAGAAGTACAACATTTTGTTGTGTGCTTGGTTAAATATCTCAGCATCCTTATTCATAGATTCTTCACTGCTTCCATTTCCTTTATATACTTTATAACCATTAAATACTGTAATACAGGATTTGTATACTTTTGCTATTATTAGCATGAATTAGTTCCCTCAGCAATTCTTGGACTAAGGAATGATCTCTAGCTGGTAACTTTGATCTAGTCTTAACTCTCCCAAGGGTTCATCTTACTCAGTACCAAATTTGACGTGATATTAAAATATTTCCACATTTTGGTCTGTACTGACTTTAAAAACCTTTAATGCCAATTATTCCTGATAGATTTTTTTTTGTAGCTGAATATGTAAGAACCTTTCCTTTATTGGGCTTGATAGAGGCTGCTTGTGAGTTTGAGACCAGCCTGGACTACATAGCAAGTTCCAGGCTGGCTTGAGCAACATAATGAGACCGTTTATTTAAGAAAGCAAACAAAACAAAAACCTCCTTGAACACCTGCTTTTTACAGTTTTTCTTTCATGGAAAGCAGCCCACAGTTAAGCCTCAATTCATATTTTGCTTTCCTTCTTAGAGTGTTAGCATCTATTTTGGACCTCTCCACCTTTCTTTACAGGGTGCTTATGTACAGCATGTTGATATTGTAGGTATAATAAATAGTTAACAAATGAATACTCAGTATTGAGAAGTCCAATTAAATATTCAACCTCTAAAGATTCTGCTATTTAGAATTCAGGCTTTATTAACTTTGTATGATAGCCTATTCTCTGGGCAGGGCTTGCTTTTGTAGTTAAGTTTACTCAAAGCCTGGTCAGAGACAAATAGATGAAAACTAATGCAACTTTTCTCCCAAGATCTCATAACTGTTCCCAAGAGTCAAGAAGATGATGCCCACAATGTACAAGCAGTAATTGATTCACTGGCCTTGGATTACCTGCAGGTCAGCTTGTCTCACATAACAGGTTAGTGTATACATAACCATTAGATAATTATGCACTTTAGTAGTGTGTATTGTCAGGTAGAACCTTAGACAATGTTTAACCAAAAGAGAGAGCTTATGAAATAGACAAACAAAGACTGAGCCAGGACAGTCAACCATAGAGAACTTATGTCAACCTATGCGAGAACTTCACCAGGAGAGTCAGACATTTAACTTGTGATGGATCTGGGTCTGAAATATGTTTGAGTGACGTTTTTGTTGTTATGTTATGTTTTTTGTTTTTCAGACAAGATCTTGCTATGTAGTTCAGACTGGCCTTAAACTCACTGTGTAGCCCAGGCTGGCCTTGAACTCACAGCGATCCTCCTGCCTCACCCTCCTGAGTGCTGGGATTACAGGCAGATTACCAGGCTGCCTTTGAATTTGGGGTGATCCTCCTGCCACTATGCTCAGCCTGTTTTGTTATTTTAATGCATGCTAATTGTGCATATTAAGGTAGCTAAAAGTTAGAAATACTTCAGTGTCCATGAATGGGGACTGGTTAGATAAATTATGATAGCTCCAGAGAATGAACTATTCTCAGCTATGAAAGGTCCCATTTTAGGAGAAATCTCATATATAGTAGGAGAAAAATGTATGTATTCTAAAACTTTCAAAAATATAAGCTATAAACTTTTGAAAATACATTCTAAAACTTTTCAAAAATAAAATACAAGTTTTGAAACTTTACCACAGTTAGATGAAGTATACTGTGCTGTATTTCAAAGCCAATATTTTTATAAATCCTTGTATTTGGAGACAATGAGGGATAAGTATTATTCTGGTAAATTATTTCACGTTAAAGAAGGCTTTACTGTTGATTTATTTCTTGACGGTAGTTAAAAGAGATAATTGTTAATTAGGATAGACCATTTACATCTCTTAGTTTGGTATTGACAAGAACACATTTTTGCAAGAATTCTGTTGTATATTGAGTTCATTTTTAAGTGAGTGGTAAATTAGTTTGGAAATAATGTATTTTGAGGAAAAGTCCCAGAGTTTCCCTGTATTTTATTTGTTTTAGCAATTTAGAGTTCTTAATCAATTGAATAGGACAGTTTCTGGTATTTGTGCTTTTTAAACATATTGCAGCAAAATTTGTAAGCGTACATATCTGTCCCTGACAAATCACACTATTGAATGAAAAATTACAAAATTGCCTACCTCCTCCAGTAGATTGCAAAGCAGCTTTTCATTAGTTGTGTTTGTGTTTAAAGCAGCTTCTCCTATACCATAAAGCATTGCATTCTGGCTGGCAGTCTTAGTTGCTGGGTTGGCCGAGCATGTTTCCCATCGTGGCGACTCAAAGGTACTACGTTTGCCCTTGGGGTATACTTATGAAGCCAGGAAAACACAGGGCTTGAAAACAAGATTTCTGCTTCATTATTTTAAACAGGAAAAATTGTCAAACTGCGTGTTTTTACTCGTAGTAATGTAAAACATCAAATTTCTGGTTTAGGGTTTTTTTGTATCATGGCCAGATACTCTGAAATATCAAATTCCTACTCTGCTTCTTCCACACTTGTTTGAACTCTTAAGAATGCTAAGCATGATATCCTAAAACACGTTCTGTCCATAGCTGGGGTTAATTGAAGCCCATTTTAAATGACAAACATTAAATTTCCATGTATTTGCCAGCCCATTTCTATTTCAGCCTGTTGTGGGCTAGGTATTAGGATAGGGACTATTTAAAAATTAACTTCATATTGTCATTTTATTTATTTCTTTTTAATTTAGTTATTTATTTTTGAGACAGGGTCTTGTTATATAGTTCAGGCAGGCCTTGAACTCACTATGTAGACCAGGCTTCCTTTGAACTTGGGGTGATCCTCCTGCCTCAGTCTCCTGAGTGCTAGGATTACAGGTGTGTGTTCCACTACACCTGGATTTAAAGGTTAACTTCTGAGTACCAAGTAGAAGTATTAGAAGATGAGGATGGAGAGAGAATAAAAATGGTTTTATATGCAGAGATTTTAGAAATTTTTTGTTTTGTTTTTTGCAATGCTAGGAATCAAATCCCACAGATAAGGTTTTAATCAGAAATACAGTTTTGTTTTGTTTGTTTTTTTGGTACTGGGGATCGAACTCCAGTCCTTGCCCTTGTGAGGCAGGCCCTGGAACCCCTAAGCTAAATCCCCAGCCAGAAAAACAGTTTTGGATTTACACAGTAAATAGAAGTTAACAAATATTGGGGAAAGAACCAGGAATCGCTGATAAAAGTATCCTAACAAGTTTTTTTTTTGTTTTGTAATTACAGTATTCTGATACTACCTTTTAAACCATTCTGAAGTGTTCTCTTCTGTGTTTGTTTGTTGAGATAGGATCTCACTATGCAGTTCAGGCTGGTTTTCAAAACACTATGTAGTCCAGGCGAACTCGCAATGATCTTTCTGCCTCGGCCTCTCGAATGCTGAGATTGTAGGTGTGTGCCACCTGCCTCACTGTCTTCTGCCATTTTCTTTTACCAATCCAACAGAGCTCACTTTACGACTTTTATGTTTTGGAATGACTCTTACTAGAGGATGTTTTCTTAAGTCTAGTTATTTTCCTTCTTAAAAAATGAAATATGCTTGTGGTTCAATATCATGTCAAAGCTACTGTTGTTACTTTTCAGTTATAATTAGGCAGCAGTATTTATCATACTATTTGTCCTTACATTGTAATCCCTGCATTTTTGAAAATGTTATATCCATTTCAGGATTATGAGGCTTTCGGGTGTTTAAGTTAAGATTTTTTAACAGCTCTGTATTCTCTGTTCAGGAGAAAATATAGTGAAAGGAGATAAAGAATCTATCAAGAATCTCCTGGAAATATTTGATGGGTTGCTGGAGTATCTTACAGAACACATCAGTGAAGCATCTTATGAGAAAAGTAAGTGTGGGCTGGGGATTTAGCTCAGTGGTGCTGCCACCTGCCTTGCAAGTGCAGTGGTCCCGAGTTCTATCCCCACTATGGAAAAAGAAAAAAAAAAAAAGAAGAGTAAGTGTAAGAATGGAGAGGCTGGGTGTAGCTCAGTGGTAGAGTACATGTTTAGCTTGCTCAAAGCTCTGGGCTGTATCTTCGGCAGCACAAAATAATGTGGTGGGAGGGATGTGTTCTACATTTTACAGTATGTTCCTCCCTTTTGCCTGTTTTTCTTGGGAAGAGAATCACTGATACAACATATGTGATAAATGTAATTACAAATTTCCAGTTGTTTCTGTTTCAGATAGTTGGAAAGTCTATCCTAGACTGTGATCAGGTCTTTTGTTAATTTGGATGTTGCTTGTAACTTATTTTAAAACTAATTGGTAATAGATGCCTAAATTTCTGCCTGAATCATTTATTAGCTACTATTTCATGAAATTTCTTATTCTAAAATTAATGCGAGAACTACCATTTTGTATTATAAATGTGGGTTATATTGAGGCATCCATAGGAAGAACATCTTTTTCCTCAGCTCACTCTAGTATTTTGTGGTAGCTTAAATATTTATTATTTTACTCTGAGTAACCCAGTTCCTCAAAATATAACAAATAGTTCATATTGAAAAATATTTCTTAAGACTTACTATTGCCTTATTTTTACCCAAAATGGGTTTGGTTAAACCAAATCAGCAGTGCCTAAGAGCTAATTTTCATCTTTGATACAGAAATCCTATATCTAGGAATTCATTATGCCAAGGAAATATTTCAGAGGGGCCAGGCATGGTGGCTCACACCTGTAATCCCAGCCCTAGGGAGGCTGAGGCAGGAGGATCACCACAAGTTCAAGGCCAGCCTAGATTACATAGTGAGTTCAAAGCCACCCTGAACTCAAAGCAAAACCCTGTCTCAAAAAAAGGAAATATTGTCCAAAAAAGATCCTTAAAAATATTTGTTGCATTATTATTTATCCTTGCTCAAAAAGAACCTGTATCTTTGTTTTTTTTGTTGTTGTTGTTGTTTTGTTTTTTTGGTTCTGGGGATGGAACTCAGGTCTTTGTGCTTGCAAGGCAGGCGGCGGAACCTCTGAGCTAAATCCCCAGCCCAAGAACCTGTATCTTAACAGATTGAGTAAATAATGTTTGTCATGGGTTGAATAATATATAACCTTTTCTTATATTGCAGAGTTATCAAAAAAAAGCTTTCAGTGATGATAATAATAATTAACATAAAATTTTTGTTTGTTTTTTGAGACAGGGTCTCGCTTTGTAGCCCAGGCTGGACTTGAACTCCAGGCAATCTTCCTGCCTCAGCCTCCCAAGTGCTGGGATTACAGGCGTGCTCTACCATGCCCAGCATAACATAAATTCTAATACAAGTTACAACAAAAATTTGGAGAAGGCTCACTCTTCTTTCTTTTGCCATTAGTGATAGACTTATGCAATAATTATAATATTTGAAGTTAATCTTAGTCTTTAGTTAGGGAAAATTCCCTATTTTTATTCAGTTGCTGCTAAAAATATTTAAGAACTGGCAGGAAAGATTGAAAAGTGTGTACCATACTGGAAAAAAAATTTTTTTCAGAAAACTTTTACTGTAATGCCAGTGGGGAGGATTCAAAGCTATGTGTCATGTTTAGTGTTCTCAGAGAAACCTGTACTCAGGCCAGGGAGACAGCTATAAATACATACAATAAAAACATAAAAGAGGAGTTAGGGAAGAGCGCTGAGAGTGAATGACATGTGGAATTTACCTAGTAAGGTAAGTAGGTATTTCAATGCCTTGTGCCTTTCTTGCCCCTGCTACTTTGTCTCTTTAGCAGCAAGGTTAAGAGGCAGAGAACTACCTCAAAGTAGAGATTGAGATTAAATTGAAATGTAAAGATGGTTGCAGTTTTTACAGTGTAGTGGCTGATTGCAGAGAGGGACTGAATAATAATGCCCGGCCCATGGTTGGGCATTGGGGCGCAGGGAGGATGAACTCAGGGATACTTTTATGAGACTGGTGGGAGTAAAAGGCTTCAGGGTACTTCCAGGGGAGATTGTGCATAGGTAATGGGCTGAGCTGTGCAAGGACGGAGCTGTTCAGGTGGCCCTCCCTCTGTGACCACACCTGAGTTGGACAATGTTTTCTAAGGTCTGATTCCCACTTACACAGATGCAAAAATACTTACTTGCAACATCCCTAGAGCTGGCGTGATAATTCAAAATGCCAATGAACAACAATGGAAAACAGCCAGGCTTGGTGGCTCAGGCTTGAAATCCCACTACTTAGAAGGCTAAAGCAGGAGGATCACTGAATTTGAGGCCAACCTGGGCTACATAGTGAATATAAGGTCAGGCTGGACTACATAGTGAGACCCTGTCTCAAACTCCAGAAAACAATAATAATGGGAGATAAATCTTTACTCTCATTAGTCATGTTATGCCTGATATGCAGGACAGCTTCAGCCTGGGAACTGAGCTAGCATTACTTAACACCTGAAGAACAAGGGATTTGAAGGCAGAAGGTAGTTTTGATACTAAGCTCTGCCTCTCACTTCTCACTGTATGACTCAAGTTCTCTCAACCTGGCTGGGTGTGGTAGCGCATGCGTGTAGTCCTAGCACTCAGGAGGGTGAGGCAGGAAGATCACTGCCAGTTCACGGCCACCCTAGGCTGAGTTCAAGGACAGTTTGAGCTAGATGAGAGACTACATCTCAAAAAACCAAAAATTAAAATTAAAATAATTCATGGTAATACAATAATAGGAAAATATGAGAGTGGTTGTTTGAACAGGGAATATGTAGAAATGAGCATAGGAGTTACCAAAGGGGTAAGTGAATCTTAGGTTTCACCCACATATCTCTTGAAGTCATGACCCTAATGAATTCTGCCGCTGGTAAAGTGTGTTTTCCGGAGCTGGGGATGTAGCTCAGTGATGGTATGCCTGCCTCCCAAGTGCAAGTTTAAAAAAAAAAAAAAAAAGTGTGTGGTCCTTAAGTATCGAGTTGGACAAAAAGTTGATGGTCTTAGGAAAACTTCATCTACGCCTTGATGTGGTCTTACTCATTCTAAGGCATGATTGTCCTAGAGGTTGAAGTTAGTTGGTACAGTTACATTTTTCTGCCACTTTAGTGAACTGAACACCTAGTATAAAAAAAAAAGTTTTGTACACCTGTAGACTCTGCTTTGAAAGCATCATGCCTCCTGTATTTCTTTGTTAATAACTTATTACAGGTGATGACTTGGTTCTTTCTAACGTCATGAGAGCCTAGTTGACCACAAAGGGTTGGGGATGCTTTACTGCCCTTACTGCTTCAGTCCACTCACATACAAAAAGTGGTACTGTATTAACTGAGGTTTTTGGTGTGTTTTTAATCTTTAAACAGGTGAAACTGAACAGTGTTTTAAAGAATCTCATGGAGGAAGACATTTGGAAGAGGAAGAAAGTACCAAGGAGTCCAAATCATCATGGAAAAGAGTTTCTTTTGAGAGGTAGTTGGCAACGTCTCTGCATTTCATCAAAGCAAGTTGTGCTTTTCCATGTGCTAAGAATAAAAATTGTGCATAATATACCAGAATGGTATCTCCCCAAAAGCTAATGTGAACATTTACTGACATCTATTTTATATTTTCTTGAGAGGGTTCTATGAACCTTGATTATATATATTAATTCAGTCTTATTTTTTTGTCTTGATCAACAAAGTTCATCTTTCATGTAAAAAACTTGGAAAGTAGAGAGAAAGGTTTTTGGTTTTGGTACCAGGAATCTAACTCAGTGCCTTCACTTGCTGGGCAGGTGCTATGCCACTGAGCTATATCCTCGACCCTGTTTTAGTTTCTTTGAGTCAGGGTCTTGCTATGTAGTTAAGGCTGGCCTCGAACTCACAGCAGTCTCGTCTTAGCCTCCCAAGGAAATCTGCCATTTGAAATGAAATACCATTGTTAACACTTGGTTATCTTTTAGTTTTTACTTTTCTTTTTTTTAGAAAATCATATTACTTAAATCATTTTTTTCCCAGTACTGGAAATTGAATTCAGAGCCTTCACACTGAGCTACATGTCCAGTCCTTTTTTAAAGTTTGGGATGGGTCTTGCAGAGTTGTTAAGTGGCCTAGGCTGGACCCAAAACTCTTGATCCTCCTGCCCGAGCCTCCCAAGTATTAGAACTACAGGCGTGAGCCATCATGCTCAGCTGTTGTCTCTAATTTTACTTCTTTCATTTTTAGATTAGTGTCAGTCTTTTCTGAAGTTGTTAAACTCATTCACACACACACACACACACACACACACACCCACCCACCCACACACACACACGGTGCTTGCCCCACTCCCCGGTCCTGTGGTGCTAGAGAACAAACACCAGGGCCTTCCACATGCTAGGCAAGGGCTTTACCACTGACTACACCGCTTCCCGCCCGCCACTCCTATAATAATTTTTAATCACTAGGTAACATACTATTCATATTAGTGCATCATGATTTACCAAACTGTTCTTCTTAAAAAGAGGTTTGTTTCTCTAGGATGTGTGGCTTGCTTTCTTCTTCTCCCCGCTCTTTGTGTCTCTAGGCTACATTGAAAGAGAATGAATGTTCTAAGACTTTTAAGAGAATATGCCAGGCTGTTTTCCAAAAAGGCCATGACTAATATATCCACTAGCAACGTAGAAGTGCTAGGTTAGCACACCCTCGTAAACCAATTTCACTGACCAGTATTGGAGTTTTTAAATCCATGCTACTTTCATAGCCAAAATGTGTTCTTGTTACAGGTTTGATTGCATTTCTTGCTAACTGAAAATTAAATGTGATGCTGTAATTTTCTGTTAAATATCTAATTTTTAGTTTTTAATGGAGTTTGCCATAGTTTGAAAAGCATAGGTAATGCCTTTTTTTTAAACTACAGTGCACTGTGAAGGATGTTTCAAAGAAAACCATCATAAGATGAAATTCTTGACTTTATTATTCATTAGATGTAAGTACAAAAGTGAACAAGGATATTTAATGTAGAGTTAACGCCCTCCCGAGACTGCAGGGTACGCCACACCCTTACTGTATCAGTGTTTGCTGTTCTCTATATGTGTTCTCCCCATTTGATCCTTGAAACTTTATGCACACATTCTGCCATCCATTACAATTCAGAATGAATCAGACAAGCAGCAGGAAGTGATGAGCAGCAAAAGGGAGGATCTTCTTTTTCTTTTCTTTTTTCTCTTTTGTGGTGCAGGGGTTTAACTCAGGGTCTTGAGCATGCTGGGCAAGCTCTTCACCATTGAGCTACATCCCCGGACCCAGCCATTCAGATTCTCTGCACCTAGCAGTGAGCAGTCTGAAGATTTTGCAAGCTGGCTGTTCAGAGCAGCTTGCTAGGCCCTCTGTGGTCAGGCTGGTGCCTAAGTAAGTGAGAGACCTCTTTCAGGTGCTCTTTCTCATCTGAGGCTCTGGGCCCCTCTTGGGGTGAAGATGAAGCAGAATCCACTGGTGAAATAATTCGACTTGGAGACACAGCACACACCTTTTCTCTAAGAAGTAACAGTAAGTACTTAAACTTTATATAGCAGTTATTTTTTAAAAATCAGTTATAATTCAAGGTGCAACTATAATTTACAGTTATAGTCTTAAAATTTGAGTAGGATAGAGTACTACTCAAATCCAGAATACTATTACCTACTAAATATAGCAAATGGGATTTACAGGCACGAGGGAGTAAGTCCAAAGCAAGCAAGTAGGGGCAAAGTAGTCATGTAATTTGTGGGATGTGATATATATAGGAGGGCAGTTCTGGATATACCTTTGAAGTCTAGTCACACTTTTGTTGTTGTTGTTGTTGAGACAGGGTCTCACTATGTAGTTGAGACTGACCTGAACTCACTATGTAGCCCAGGCTGGTCTCAAACTCACAGCAATCCTCCTGCCTCAGCCTCCCAAGTGCTAGGATTACAGGCATAAGCCACCATGCCCAGCTAGTCACACTTTTAGAGTATTCTTTCTATTAAGTGCTGGGGATTGTACCCCCAGGGCCTTCACACTCAGTTACATCCCCAGCTCTGTTTTTAAATTTGAGACAGAATCTTGCTAAGTTTACCAGGCTTGGCTTAAACTTGTGATCCTCCTACCTCAGCCTCCCAGAATGCTAGGCATGCGCTTCCATGCTTGGCTGGAGTGCTTGTTAATTATATTATCCTAAACAAGTTGGCTCACCTTTTTTATCATTTCAACAAGTTCATACTCCCAGGAGCAGTTTTTCTGTCAAGCTGCGGGCCACAGTTTCAATAGTCTGTTCTTTCCATATGGTAGATCTGAGGGTCGCTCTCAGTTCCCCTGTCCTGCCCCTGGGTGCCATGCTCTTCTCTGGTATCAAATACTGGGTGCTTTTCCTTCTTCCTGTTCTGGCAGACTCAACCTTCAGTTTTCAGTTTCCCTCATCTGCCTTGGGCTCTGATGCTATGTTTATATTGTGTGACCTTTTCTATTTCTGTAACACCATTCACACATTATAAGGTAGCTTACAGTTTGTTATGGAAACCAGTTTCTGGCAAAGTATCCCTGTTTTACTTAGTAAGTATTTATTCAGGGCTTCTCGGTGCCGGGCTGTGGTGGTAGAGTGGGAAACAAAACAGACAGAAATCCCTGCTTTCATGGAGCTTATGTTCTACTTGTGAAGGCTGCTGATAAATATGATAACTAAAATATATAGTAAAATTATCTTTCAGGACAGCAAAAAAATGCTAAAATAATTATTTCTTTATAGGACAAGAATGTTAGCATGGTATTAAGTACCTTAATTTGGGAATGAAATGGTCTTTGTCTTTATCCAGACTCTGCTACTGGATATATGACTTGGGGTAGGCTTTTACCTTTTCAGAGCCCCAGTATGAGAATTAGACTAAGCCACGTCTGAAGTTCCTGTCAGCCATTCGAAGGAATTATGTTAAAAACAAAAAAACCTAAGTCTGAAGGTCAGACAGTAGGCCAAAGTATGCTTGCCACTGGAATATGCAATGTGATAGAATGATCAGTCAAGTGTAGTTAATATAAGAATATTTGTTGTCCAAAGGTGGTGGTATACATCTACAATCATAGCTACTTAAGAAGCTGAGGCAGGAAGAGGTTTGAGGCCAGCCTGACCATGTCTCAAAAAGGGTTAGATGTGGATCTCATAGGTAGAATGCCTGCCTAGCAGGCTCATGGCCTGAGGCTCAATACCTGGTACCGCAAAAAAAAAAAAAAAAAAAAAAATTTTGAAGGGAGTT